TACAAATTATGCAGCCTTTAAGCTTTACTAGGGGTGCAGCAGGAGCAAAAGAGTACCGAATCAATTTTATCCGTAATAGTGTGGGGGAAGGGAGAGCTGCTTTCCTATTTTGAGAGCAACATCTATGCTACACATGCAGAGCCAAAGCCTTCTAATCCAGCAGGCTGAATACATACTAGTTATTCAAACTCAAGAACGTGTGCATAAAAGGAATTTCATACAATTAGTCTCTGTTGTCCTCCTCGTTTTATACTCTCTGTAAAGTTCTCATTCCAATGCTTCTACATTATGCACTCAGACCCATCTTTTTGCCTCCCACAATGCCTTCAGTAATGTAGAAAACATTAGACAAGCAGGCAAGGATGTCTAAAAAGATAGCATTTGTACAAGCCATTAATCTACCATTTAGTCAATAAACACGCAGAATTTGTAGATTATTATAGTAAAGCAAAATCAAGTGTAGCTTAATGAAAATGGGCAACGCTGTTTCAGTCTTGATATTAGAAACTGTGTGTCAGAGTTTTCTGCCAAACTAATGCAATGGAACACAGTTATGATTTTATGAAGAAAAATATTTTAGCAGACTATCACCCTGAATAGCATGTAAAAAGGTCTTAGGGAGGAAAATAATTACATCTACCCTCAACTAATAAAAGCCTCTGCACACATCCATTTCTGCATCTTTATTTCTTAAACACCTGACAGAAGTCTGACACCAAACTAGACTGCAGATTCACCTGAGGAGGTCTGTCCAAGGAGCTGATCCTAGCTCATGAGAAACAGGATAAAAACTTGGAACTAATTTTGCTATGTGTAGCAAGAATACACTAAAGAGAAGCTGTAGTGACATATGGCTCGTATTGCGACCAAGAAAAAGCAGAGATAACTGACTTCCTCTCAAAGAAGAACCTTGTTTCAGCAGTTCCTTTCATATATTCACACAGCACAAATGTTACAGCTTCAGAAAGTGCAAGTACAGAAAAACAGCAGCACAGGAGCTTGGGAAGGCCTGTGGCAGAAGAGATCACTGCATCCCCACAGCCCCAGGAAACCTCCAGTCACTGAGGCAATACTCTCCTACCCTGCCCAATTATTAATTTTGGGGTCTTCTTCAGCTGCCAGAGCATCTCGTAGGGACACAACATGGAAAGCTGCCAGCCTTCCCAGAGCCAGCTCCGACTAGGTCAGTCTTGGCTCAGCAGCAGACCACATAGCGCAGCAAAAGGAAACACAAGGCCTTGAACTCATGACCATCTTCCCTCTCGCCCTCCATACATACACCCTACACACCAATTTTCTTTGATCGCTAAGAAATAGTAATTCGCTGGTGGCCAACATCATCTCCACTGGAGACTGTGACAGCTGCCAACAGGCCCTATCCATAAGCAAACAGAGAACTGCTCAGATTAAAACTATGGAAACCCAGAAGTTAAGATGCCAAATTTTACCATTAAATGTGTATTTTTGGCTTCCTTCAGGTGTTATGGGAAGTTACACAATAACTATAATGGAGATTTCCTATTTGGAGCTGTTAAGCTAATACCAATCTAAAGATCAGGTCTGGCAAAGCAGAGAAGTGGCAATATGAACTTCCCTGTTGCCATAGCTGTATGTAGCGACACTGCAGTAGTACAGGGCATCTCAGCCTCTAGCCACAGGCTCTACTGCAGAGCCAGTTTCATCTCAATTAGCTTTGGTATCAGGGTGGTACTACTATTAAACTAGTGATAAAGAAAACACCGAGGACAGGGTCTCCCAAATAATGACGAGGAAGTAGCCTGAAGTTACAGTGCTCACCTTCACGCAAATGACTCTTGGTCTTCAGTCAATTAATGACTTTAGTCCAGACAGCCTGATACACATCACCTGGCTATCCATCACCTATGGCTTTTGATTCATGCAGAAAGTAGAGGCCACATATGCAATCAACAGCCCTAAAGAATGACCCTTTGTTTATGAAGGGGGACACCAAGTAAGTCAGAGAAACCTTATCAATACTAATATCATAAATAGTTACTGACATTTGAAATATTCTACAGAAACCTTCCATATCATTACACAAAATCTGGAAGCAATCCTTAAGGAACTGTAGGCAAAGTGAACACACCATTCAACGCATCAAGGACACAGCTACATCTCTATCACCCAGAAAGACAGCTTCTTGACAATTCTTCTTAAATAATCATGGCTGTACCACTACACAACCATGCATAAAATATTACAAAACTGCAAGAAATGTTTAATCACTTGATCAACATAACAACACATCAGTAGGGACACAGTCACAGGATTCACAGGCCAAACCCATGTTTCTTCCTAGAAGTGAAACAAAAAGAAAGGGATGTGCCAATCCTTCCACACCTCATCCTTCAACAGTAACTACTCCAAGCCATATGGCTGTTAAGGATTTTCAGCACTTGAAGAATATCTATGATGCTTTCCTGACTGCTCTTACAGGAAAGGAAAATTCAACAGACGTACTATAAAGTGAAAACTATCACCCTGCCTACTTTTTCCTGAGTGAAAAAATGCTGTGTTTACTATATTTCTTAGAAAATCTCCATTTTGAAAACAGTGAATATTCCCGAACAGGTCTGGGATTAAGGCATCAAACTTTGAGAAGACAGGTGACTGAATAAGGCTCTTAACCCCACATGTAGCTCTTAATGCACAATGCCTTGGAGCAGACCACACTTGAAGACCAATGCTAACCTGTCTGTTTGGCATTTCTTACAGGGGTCTAGAAGAGAGCCTGAATTTGCCCTTCGAGGGCTTCTGAAGGCCTACAAGAATCTTACCTTAAAGGCACAAGAGTGGCTGACCTGTCCCATCATCCAGTCTCCAGTAACTCCATATGACTTCACTCACCCTGTCTCCAGCTGCTGGCTGTGAAAGCAAAGGAAGCACCGGGCTCCCAGGGTAGTCATTTTGCCAAGGAAGGTGCACATGGCAGATACAACCAGAACTCCTCCCACGGACTGAGGGCTGGCACGACCCCAGAGGAGCTGGGGCTGGCTTGGGAGATGGAGTTCCTAGCAAAATCCATTTAACACATTCCTGCACAGCTTCTGTCGATACCGTTCCTACGGACAGTTGAAGCTATTCTAGTTAAAAAGGAAACAGCCTTGCCAGGCTAGTTGCCTTCACTGAAATAAGAGCATGCGTTTTACAGAAACAAAGATGAATTGAGCTCACTTTCTTCTACAGCAGTATTCTGGTGTGATTTTGTTCCCTTGTATCTGCTTAGATAGCTAACCAGACCAGAGCTACTGGAACAGGAATGTATTTATGTATCTTTATCCAACATGCTGAGGTTTTTAATGCTTGGTTGGGCTTTCTGGACCTTTGCACATGTATTAAACCATACAAGCATTTTACAGCTAGCACCTCCAATTAGCACAGGAACTGACACCTTCTCTGCTGCTTTTCCTTATGTGTTCATTTAATAAAAAACTTTGAAATTGTGCATTAAGGTATACTGAAGCACTGTTGTATTAAACAAGCATAACGACCAGAATTTATCATACCTCAGGCATTTTTATAGATTCCTTCCTAAAAAATATTAATAAGCATACTCAGTAAATGCAGGATTTACCTTTGAGCATCAGTATTCTTTGTATCTTTTGTCATTAGAAATTAAAGCTAAAAATACATGTACACTCCCCCTGTTGCATACTTGCTCCACATTCAAATAGAAACCCCCAGACAACCAACATAAACAACTGTGATGAATGCTTCAATCTCCAACAGGCAGTGGGATGAACACCATAAAAAGAAATTAAGACTTACTATTTTTCCACCTCCCCTCAAAACACAAAAGTCTAAACCAACTCCTGTTTGGTCAGTAGTGACTTCGTAAACGCTGTATCTACCAAACCACATGCTGCCAGGAATAGCATAAATCTCAAAGCAAGGATTACAAAATCATTTGGGGGTTTTGGGTTTTTCTCTTTTAAGAACCCCAACACACATCCTTACAAGGATAAACAGTTCAATCTGCTTTTAGCTTTCAAAACTAACACAGATCTATTTATTCTGCTGGGTATACACCGAATGTTTGAACAAAAAAAGTTAGTCAGAGGTCAGACAATACAGGTCCCTATGACTACACCCTTCACTTGAAGGAAAACCAGAATATCGATTTTCTGTTTCAACCAGCTGAAATGACAATAAGAGAAAGCAAATTCTCCTGGCTTTTGTGTTCTAAAAGAACACCTTCCCAACTGACATCTAATCAAATTGGTTTTGGCCACTGAAAAATCCTACCATTGGTCAGGCTTTGCAATAGGCACATCCCATACACCTTGTTCAGGATGCACGGATGCACACTCAGCTCCTCATCCCTGCAGCTTCTATGGGGGGAAAAAAAACGAAGTCAGGAGCGGGTTATCTGTCAGGCCGCGTCCTGGCACCAGCCACCGAGTTATGAGTTTACGTGAGCGCAGCACCAGGTTAACAATTTGCAATTTGCTTCACTCCTGGACTCCCCGGCAGCCCTCCATTTTGTCAACTGCCTCAATTTAAACGTTTTCCAAGTTGAACGACACAACTTCCAACATTTCTTGGGGAGCCCTTCGGGGCTTTAAAGCATCCTCTCGCATTTTAAGCAGTGGAAAGCCTGTTCGGAGCCAGCGCTGTTTACTAAGTTTAGAAAGGCAGGCGCGCACCCACGGCTTATCAGGAGCCTCCCCAAACATCCCCCGCAGCCGGTTTCGGGGCGCGCTGGAGAAAGCTGCTGCTCATCCCTTCCCGCGGCGAGCTGCCTCCCTTCCACCCACAAAACGCGCCCAGCTTTCTCCCCCTTTCCCCTGCCTCTACGAGGAGAGGCAGGTGGCTATCGGGAGGTGACGAGGGAACGGACGAGGAGGCAGGAGCCCCCGCGGACAGCAGCAGGGTGCCGGCCGCCCCGCAGCAGGTAGGGGGAGCGTGGAGCGGGCGGCCCGCCGGTGCCGGCACCGTCCCCGTCCCGTACCCCACTCCCTGTCACCCCGGTGCCTTACCACCTGCGGAGGCGGCAGGAGCCCGCCCGGGCCGGGGCAGCGACCTGTCTGGTGCGGGCGCTCTCCTCCGGAGGTGAGGGGCTGGCAGGGAAGGGCATGCGGGAGGAGGGAGGGAGGGACACATGGAGGGAGGGCTGGCTCTTGCCGACCGCCTCTCCCTCACCTCCCACCTCCCTCCTCCTCCTCTCCGCCCGGTCCGGCCCGGCTCGGCTCGCACCACCCCCCGCGCCCCTCGCCCCCCTCCCGGGCTGCCTTCCACGGGGCGGCCCGGGGCGAGGGGTCCTTGCGCTCTTCCCGGCACTTACTGTTTCACCCCCTGTGTGCCTGTCCATCCCCTCGGCGGGGATAAAAGTTGTTGCCACCAGCCTCGCCGCTGCCGCCTGAAACAACTTTGTCTCCTTCCAGCCGCTGGGGAAGCTCCTTTTTCCTTCTTCTTCAATTATAATAATAATAATAAAAAAGAACAGCAATTAAAAAAAAAATAAAAAGAACACCAAAACTATATTCGTCTCTTTTTTTTTTTAAGAGGGGGAAGCGTGAAGGTGGGAGGGGAGAGCAGAAGAAAAAGGAAACATTTGGAGCTTCCCCCCCCTCCCTCTCCTTCTTCTTTCCCCCTCCCCCCCAAGATGGCTTGAGAAAATTAAAAGGGGACAGTGATGGGACACACACACACACACTGAAAAGATCGGGAGGGGGGAGAAAATCGTGGGGTTCGGGGTGTTTTTTTTGTGTTTGGTTTTGGGGCTTTTTTTAAGCCTTCTGTTTCCCCGGAGGGCTCAAACGTTTAGGAACAAACGGGCAGAGCAGGCAGGCACAAGGAGGGGAGCGAACGAGAGAAAAGAGTTTTGCTGGTCAGTAAACTTCAAGCTGCAGGGATGAGGTCATTGGTGTAAAAATAAAGCGATGGCGTCATTTGAAACCAATCCCAGTGAATGAACTCAGCCGGGGGGTGAAGGTGGGGGGAGAGGGTGAAGGAGAAAGAGGAGGAGCGAGGATCCCTGCGGGGACACCGAGGCAGCAGCAGCCGCCGCGCAGCCCCGGCGGCGGGAGGCGGTGGCTTGGGGGGGGGTCTCATGCCGCACCACGCTGTCACCGGGGGGGGGACGGGGACGACACACGGCCGCAGCCCCCGGTCCCCAGCTGCAGCCGCCGGGACGGCCCCTGGGAGGAGCCGGGGCCGCGGAGCGATTCAACCGGGCCGCCGCCGCGGTCCTTCTCCGTTGTTCGCCCGGCCGGGAGGCAGGCTCCGCCGGCCCTGCCCTCGCTGCCCGGCCGCGGGCCTCGCCTCTCCCGTGCTCTGTCCGCGGGGGCCGCCTCGTTTTAGCGGCCCGTTCCGCCGAGACGCGGCCTGCGCTCGTGCGCGGGCCCAGCCGGGTTGTTCTGGGTGCTACAGCGAGCGCTCCAGGTGGCTCCATAAATGCTGGTTCTGTCTTTTAAAGTAGCGCTGTGTTACCTGGTGCAGAGCCATTGCAGTTCTAGGGTGTCAGGTCCTCTTGTGGAGGTGGTGGTGTGGGCAGAGGCCTGTGGGCTACATTGCACACTGGGGGTCTTCATGCTTTTGTAAAATCACACACTGGTTGGGTTAGGAGGAACCTTAGAGACCATCTAGATCAAACCCCTGCCACGGGCAGGGACACCTTCCACTAGACCAGGTTGCTCCAAGCCCTGTCCAGCCTGGGCTTGAACACTGCCAGGGATGGGGCAGCCACAGATTCTCTGGGAAACCCTAATGTCTAATCTAAATCTCCCCTCTGGCAGTTTAAATCCATTCCCCCTTGTCCTGTCACCATATGCCAGATTTCTTGTAGGGTCCTTTTATGTGCTGGAAGGCTGCTATGCTATAAGGCCTTTAAATAACCTTGTTAAAGAAAATAATAAAAAAAAATCTGAAACTAATAGCTTGAGGAAAGTGCAAGTTTAGTCTAAACAGATAGGAAATTATTTTTATCTAACACCTATCTCTTCTGGCTAGTACCAATGATAACTAGCAAGGTGCATCCTTCAGGGGTTTGGTGGGTCCTGCCTTTCTTACACATTCCTCTTCCAGGTACACCAGAATATTCTGCAGCCTTCTTTCTCCCCCAGAGACATCACACTCACTACAGGGAGCCTGCCAGCGCTGCTGAGTATGCGGGATGTCTTACATGGCTGAATTCAAACTCCAGCCAGTCACCTCTGCTGGCTTTTGAATCCCTGTAACACAAACCCTTGGAAGACAGCATGCGAAAGAGGATTAATTGCATGGCTCCTTACACTCATGGTGGCTGTCTCTTAAAACTAAGTGCTTTGGGAAAGGCACGCAGCTATCACCCACATTAAAATGGTTTGTGTGGTTCGTATGTCAGAAAGCAGAGAGCTCGAACAAATTTTACAGTGCTGGGCTCTGTTCTGGCAAAATTGACCAAGAACAACCTTGATGAAGGGCCTGGTGCTAAGGAGTTGCGAGTTGTCTCCCATGAGGAAGCCTTGTTGGCACTTCAGAACAGTCACATCCTCTGCAAGGGAGTGCAGAATGTGCAGGGGAGAGAGAATTCCTAAGAGAAGCCCAGTCTCCCTAAGGCAATGATGAAGGAAAGACCAAAAGCAATGAAGAAACTGTGGTAATGCAACTTATGCTGGTATGTTCACTATTTTGCATATGTCAGTCTTGTAGAAGGTAAAAAGCAGTTTTAACTTTCTGTTTCAGTTAACCAGCTGCCCTGAAGAAACCTTCCGCAGATCCCCAAAGTGCCCAGAGTATTGAAAGTGTGCACAGTCAACTGCTGGTTAGCGGAACTACAACTGACCCATTTCGATGAAGGGGACCAGAGGAGAGTGTGCCAGAGAAACTCAAGGTGACAGCCAGTGCCCTAGCTTATTCAGACCAAAGAAGTGCAGGAACAAATAGTTCCAGCACGGTTATCCTCACAAAGGGAAGTGGGGAGCAGTGGAGAGGGTGCGTGGTGAGAAGGAAAGGCATTTGAGTTTCCCTTTTGTCACCTCAACTCACTAACACCTTATGTAACTTTTCTTATTTTATTTTTTTTTTTTTTAACTGGGACACTGAAAAAGTTTCCTCACTGTAGAGCTGTTGGAATAAAAAATAGTTGTGACCATTTTGGAATATTTTTGTTTTTAGCTGAAGAAATTTGTATACAAAAAAGTCTAGGAGAGCAAGTTAAAGCTTTTTTAACATAGAGTGTCCTGTAAGCTGGCTGGGCTTAAACCACAACACAGAGTCAGGCAATTTCTTTTTCCTGATGTAATAAAAGGTGCGACTAAACCCCTGTGATACCACAATTTACTCCTGCAGGCTGAAGTTATTACTAAGAATAACTTTATATATTCAGCTTGAGCTTGTGCTGGGAGTCTGATCTGGGAGACCATCGCAGGGTGAAACTGCACAAGTTTGTTGTTAACCTGAAGACACAAACAGAAGGAGCCTGGAGGACTCAAACACAGCAGCATCTGACCTCACTTCACTGAGATTAGTGTCTGTGTCCTTTACCTCCTGTTTGCAATGGGCAAGGCGTGCGTGTGTTGGCAGCTGACATGCCTCAGCTGGCAGGTGGTCACTCATCAAGGAGCAGTAACTCCTCTGCATGTCAGTCTAACTCCAGCTTAATTTTTTTCCTTGAAAGCTTTTTTCCTCCCTACCATTTGCACAGCAGGCTCCTGGAAATGATCTGAACTGCATGCATGGAACAGGGAGAGAGTCAGGCTTTAGCTTGGTGAACTCCTGAACCATCTGGGAGAGGGGCTGCCTGGCTTTGTGCGTGTCCCTGGCTGCTGACCTTTCCTCCCCAGGTTCCCAAAGGTCTGTCCATTCTATGAAATCTATCTTGCTACATTTCTGCCCAGTGATTCTTTTTTTTTTTTTTTTCCTCAGCGCTCACTGCCCCTTTTTGCCAAAACGGTACCGAAAGAGTTAATGTTAGCCTCCCTTTCTTGTGCCTCCTTATCAAGCTCATGAGATAAGACCTGAAGTGTCTATATGGGGTAAAACAAGGGCAAAAGACATTGTGGTGTCTATCCAGCAGGCTATGCAACAGCGCTCGAACTTTAACATGTTCCCATGTCCTCCTGCCAGTACACATACTGCTTCTGCCAGGAGCAGCTGTGTGTCACCCGTCACTGCTCCTATTGCTGGGGGGCTGGGGAGAAGGAATAGGTGATTACTTTCAAAAACTGGAGGTCATGCACCTTGTTTACAAAGGTTTCTCTGTCTCTATTCATAAAAGCTAGCAGAGCTTTCTGTTCCTTTTCCAACTAGTGGATTTGGTGGCACTTCACTTGGTTAATCAGTTAGCAGTGATTAAACAGGGGAAAGATGAATGGCAGCCTGAGTAACGTCATCATGTTTTCTGCACAGTGGAAAGGAGTGGTTTGCCAGAGGAACCTCTTGCGAAATCAGAGAGAACTGAACTTAAAGAACAGAATTTACCATGATTTAAAATCCCCTTGTGGGTGCTCACTTCCACCATGGGCTGAAGCGAGGTTGTTGACGAGGTTACCATTCCCAGACAGCTCTCAGTCACTGTCACACCTATCTTCTGCCAAAGGTTATCGCCTCTCCTACCTACCCGCAAGCTGCTCATGCAATCCCTCCCAAATTTGTTTTGGCCAAAGACGACTGGAGTAGCTTAAGAAGTTTAAATAGTAGATGTCAGCTGAACTGGTTTGTTTTGGATGGCTGAAATGGATTAGGGGAAACCCAAGTCAGCAGATGGGAAGTGAGGGGATGACCTTTTTTTCATGGACAGCTTCAGGGGCAGTGGGTAGTTTGGCCTAATCTGCTTTCAGAGCAGACTGCTGTACCAGACGTAACTGCTACTGACAACTCTTCAGGGTATTTAAAAATAGAAGTGTTGCCGAGGCACCCACATTGAAACATTCATAGCATTTTTAGATACTACTAGCTTTGTCGGCATAAAAAGCAGGGTACGGCAGGAGTAGCAGTGCAGGTTTGTGGGAGAGCAGCAATGGGAACATGAGGATTTGGAAACTGGTAGGAATAGAAGATGTAGGACTGAGCGTTGAGAAAGATCAGAAGAGAGAAAAGTTTGCAGATGGAGATCACAGAGTTCAGTGGGAGATCACAGAGTTCAGTCTGGAGAGGGGGAATTTGAGTGGTGAGAAGTGCAGGCATCAGAGACACAGGCTGCAGAGTAGCAATGCTCGAGGGAAAACAGTGAGTTGAGAACAATTACTGTCTCCCCATTCTTCTCTTCTTGTTTGTATCAGACCTTGGGAAGTTCTACTCCTTTAGAGAATGCTGAAATGAGAATAGCCTCACTAGTCTGTTGCTACAGGTAGTTTTCATACCACTACTTCCCTATAGCTTCTCCAGCACTGTCATATTCATTGCATGTCAAACAGGCCGGAGTTAGTATGCAAGCAGAGAAGTCTAGGTTCAATGCAGATATAGGTTCTTATGCCAGGAGAAATGTAAGACAAGATGGAGCAATATTCCTGCTCTCTGTAAGACAACAGTGGATGATTTGGAGCAGTGGAAAAGGAGAATTACAGGAACTAGAATAGTAGAAAGTACAGAAAAAAATAGAAGGAGATTGTCAGCTATCTGCTTTCCTTAAATCATAAATCCTCTATCCATTACTCAACACGAATTTACATGATCCCTGTCGCTATAGTTTCTGAGAACCCATTACTTTTGTAAGTCTTTCATGGGACAGAGGATACCATGTTTTATTGGTGTAAGACTGAGTTACTGAGATAAAGTAGCTTATTCAGGTTAGTATAGCAAGCCAGTTGCAGATCGGAGAACTCCCTTAAATCCTGAATCTAACTACTAAGTCATCCTTCTCCCTCTCCATCTCTTGAAAGAAATTGTAACTTTTTTTAGTTAACCTGAGCAGGGACATTTAATAAAATTAAGCACTTGTACAAAAGTTTGTTGGCTTAGTTTGCAATTAGACACACATACACACAAAAGTCTGTAAGTGAGATAGACAACAGAAGACAAGGATAAAATACAAAGGAAGAAGTAATAAAAATTTCTGGTTCCATAGATGGGCATATGAAGCTTAGGGGCTTTTGATCAATCAGAATCATCTTCAACAGAAAAAAAAAGTGACTATTTTGATAGTCAAACCACTTCAGTGTGAAGCAGCAAGATTAAGTTTTGAGAAAACATTTGAAATTGGAGATCATAATAAGTATTATTTACAGAAAAGGAGCATAATAACATGTTGTCATCAGGAAACAGAATAATGAAATACTGTTCTCAAGAAACAGCAAGTTCAGACAAATCTACAGCAACTGAGAAACTTAACTAGTAACTTTTCTCACTTTTCTCTGTATCTAAAGAAAAAATATTTAATTAACAACACCACCACCACCCCCCCAGTACATTAAAAAACAAAATCACAAACACTTTCCAGAAATTAAGTTCCTTCTTTCTTTAAGTACCTTCTTTCTTTTAGCTCTTACTCACCGCTAGTCATTTGTCTAGGCTGGTGTACTTGTATTGAAATCAACTTGTTAATGGGCTGTAAGCACAGATGGTGTAAATCATCATTGCTCAACTAACACTGAAGTTGCTATGCCAATTTATACTATCTGAAGAGTAGCTTTGTATTTTCATGTTTTGTTTGTGGCCCATGATGAATCAGAACTAAAATGTATTTGTGTTTATTATGAAGGCAACATAAAATGTATGAGGTCTTTCACTATTCATAACCTTCTTTTTAACTACTTGAGTACTTTAGATAATGTGAGTATAGTAATTACCAACCTTAAATACATTTTAGACTTTTTGTTCCTGGCAATGAAATATTTTCTTAAAAGTACCTAGGATACAATGAAAAAGGGCAGCATCCATAAAATGCTCTAAAGTTGTGATACATGAAATGTAATCTGGGCCAATATAAACTATTTAGTACAAAATTACTGTCTTGATAGCATGTTAAAGTTAGCTCACAATCAGGAAATTTGACAAAAAGATGAATGCAGAAACTGAATTGACAACCTGTGGTATTAAAGACCAGTTTATATTTTATTTATATTTATTTATAAAAATATTTTCAAGATGTACACAAGAGAGGAAATCTTCTGACAGTTTTAGAGTCTTCCCCATTTCTTCTAATGCATTTTGTTGTTTCTGCCTACCTTTAACAACTCCTGATACCTACAGATATCCTGAGCCTTGTGGATTTGATAAGTTAATGTTCATTGTATTTCTATTTCTAAAGTGCCGTTTGGGTGTTGCAGTAATACCCAAGTGAAACTATGTTGTTATACAAACAGATTGTGAAAGAGAAAGATTTCTCTTCAGTGGAATCATTAAAATGCGCTTAATATGTGGAAAGACCCTCGTATCAAAAAATGAAGGACAGAAAAAACTTTAATGGAAATGAAAAAAATCTTGAGTTCTAAAAGGGAAAAGAAACTGAGTTAATGACTGTTTATTTGTTGTTGCTGTGGGAAAGAAAGGCATGAGCACCACAATGACCTGCATTTATAAGCTTTCATTCATATAAATCTTTAAGTGGATACACTCAGAACATCAATATTTGGGCCTCACAGTAAAAACATTCATAGGAAAAAAAGCCCTGTTAACTTTGAAGAGTGTCTTGTTTTGTTGAATGCACTGGTCAGAATATTGTCAGTCTGGTACTAACCCAATTGTCAACAACAGACAGCAGAGTTTGTTGAGAAGGACAGGTGAAAATATCAGGTTACAGGGAAAAGAAGCATGTGAAAATTTCAGAGCGTGTCATTTGTAATTTTTTGTCAGGATGCAAGGTTAGAATATGTCTATTTTAGTAGCAATCTGAGTTCGAAACTCTAAGGTGGAGGTGAGGTGAAGGACTGCTTGTTTATTTTTATGTAGCCTTTTTGTGTACCCTTCCGATGTTCAGCAACAAACTGGTTTCTGTATACTGGGTATGGGTACAACTCTTTTAGCTCTAGGGTGGGGGATGGGGGTGTTGAAAATCTTGCAGGAATGTTTTTGCTTCAAAGCAGTTTGCCACTTGTTCTCCTTGTTGCTGGGGTGAAGAATCATTAACATATTAAAAATGTTTAAAACCCTGGTTTATGTTCAGCCTGCAGACAGAAGGGGAGAAGATCAGTGAGGATAAAACACAGGGCTCCAAATCCAATGTTTTATTTTCTATGTGAAGGCTTGCCTCAGACTTCTCATGACTTGCTTGAAGCTGCACCCTCTTACCTCAGATATAAATTTGGCTTGTTGACTTTAGTCATTAAAAAATTGTTTCAAGTCACTGATCAAATGATGATGAGTTCCAGATAAACTTATGCTGAAGAATGTGCATCTTCATGATCATTTAAAATCTAAATGAGATATGAAATCAAATGGGACAGAAGGTTTTTTAAGAGGGGGAATTTCAAGTAGAGGACATGACTTTCCAAGTCATTATTTCTTGGCAACTATGTAAGCTCAGAAGAACTTCCTAGACAGGAACATGAGTACAGATTATTTTGTGAGCCGGTCAGTGGAGACATTTATGGGAAAATGGGAGATGCAATTTGAGTTCCAGAATATAAAAGGAAAAAGAAGTCCTTGTTAGAAGGGCTTGTCTAATTACTAAGTTGCAGAAATTGTATGTTTATTCATCTGTTATTTTGTACTAGGACTTACAATTAAATGATGTCAGCTACAGTTTAAGAAAAATGGTTATTATAACTGATGATTCATTTAAAGTACCTTCTTACCATATAGTGTCAGCAGAAGATTAGGATGTAGTTGCACAAACACTGTAAGCTGGATGTTACTAAAAGAAGAGCTTGGTCTTCCATTTGGTGAATGAACAAAGGCTTGGACCACTACAGAGGACACACAGCTTAGGAACAGGGATGCATAGCAAT